TTTAAATCTTTTAAACATAAAAAAATTAAGAATAGCGTATAAAAACTGATACCCAAACTACAGTGGCGGCTGTGGCAGGTGGTTTTAACCAAGGTGGATGGGAAAAACTTCAATATATATGAAAAAGAAAATTAGACCGCCCATCTCGACCACTCTCGTAACTATTTTCCTAATCCATCATAATGAGTAAACAAAAAAAAATCAATCCGTGAATTTCTATGTCTTATGTCAGTTTTTAGATGGCGTGACTATGAAAAAACATGTTTTACATACTCTAGATTACAATGTCCATGAGCGGATGCTTGAAAACTGTTATTTTTTTAAAGATAATACCACGATTTTAACAACGACGAAAACTCTAATTTACGAAAAGTTTAGAGCGAATTGCTAGCAACAGTCACTTCGATCTCCTGTAACACTAAATGCCTTAAGAGAATCGACTTGTTGTCTCATAACGATACGCAGTAGAGCCCTCCTAACAATATAAGATGGTTATGCATACGAATGCACCAATTTTTTTTGGACTTTTGGCCAGGATTTTCCAAAAACTGGCCACTGTGCAATGCTATAATTACAATTTCTTTGGTATGCTATACTTTTATCAAAAATTAATAATATTAATTTGTTTGAAACCATATATTTACATAATGATAGTGGCGTCGAATTTGCCCATATCTATGTATATTAGACTGCATCACCAAAAAAAGTTGCGGTTTTTCCACCGGGATTACAAAATTTATTATATTTTAAGACGTCCACCAAAATATTTCGGAAAAATATTAAGATTTTAGTGAGCTGGACCGATTTGAAAACACCTCCAAAAATGGAGTTTTTTTATGAATAAAAATAGTTTCTTAAAGAACTTTTTGAAAATTTTTTAAGCTTAAACCGTTTTGACATTTGAGGGGATTTTTGCAAAAAAAAAAATCTTAAGAAACTATTTTTATTCATATAAAATTCCATTTTTAGAGGTATTTTCAAATCGGTCCAGCTCACTTAAATCTTAATATTTTTCCGACATATTTTGGTGGACGTCTTAAAATATAATGGATTTTATTATTCCAATGGAAAAATAGCACCGATTTTTTTTTTTGTATGCACATTTGGGAATTTGGATTTTTTATTAAAACTAACATACATAGTTTTCAAAGCTGTAATAAAAAAAAACTGAAATACAATAAAAATGAACGGATTTTATTTAAACGGTTTAGTATTCACATTTATTTTTTTTTGCTGTTGGAAAGGTTTGTACCAGAGAGATGCATGGATACACTCAAATTACATTTTAAGTCTCGCTTTCTTTTCACATCTGCACACACTCGCACTCATTTATTTCCAAACATAACGTGCGATAGCATTGAAAAAACATTGTCGGTTGAGTGAATAATTCACACTATCAAGTGCTCGATTCAAATAACAAGTGCTTGATTTGAAAAACAAGTGCATGGCATAACTGCTGTAATAAAAGTATCAAAGAAAAAACATTTGTAAATACATTTTTTTTTTTAATTTTATAGGTTTCCTAACTGCATATTATAATGCAAAAATATCAACTGATTAAGGGCATCATCATTTGACAAAAGGTGGCATCTCTTGTCAGAAATAACATTTCCAGCAGAAGAAAAAACTCTTTCCGACAATGCGCTAGTTAAAGGAGTGGCTATGGCCCCTATTATGAGTTGCATTCGATTTTCGACTGTGGTCGAAAGTGCTGAGCGAACGAATTTTCATTTGGTATTATGACGTTCATTCGATGAAGAATAGCGCTATTGTGAATTTCGCTCGTTTAGGTTGTTCACAATAGTATATTTTTCACCGCTGAGAAGCTTTGTTTACAAATCGAGCAAACTAAATAGTGTGCTTATACATATTTATGTAAATTTGTTCTAATTAAAATGAAGTAAAAAAGAAAGCAAGTTTATAAAAACGTGGTAAAATGAGTACAACGAGTTCTGGTTCAACGATTCGTCAGAGGATGAGAGCTTAGTAAACTGGCCAGGAGTAGCAAATGTTTAAGAGGGTTTAAGTTTATTAGTCTTTCGAATATATTTTGATATAAAATATATTTAAGAAATTTGTCTACAGATTCATTAAAAAGTTCCGACCATCTAAAGAAGCGTTTGTGAGCCAAATCTATTTAAAATATTTTAAAACTATCAACAGCGCTACGATTTTGTTCTCAGAGATCGCGCCAACAGAGTATTGGGATTTTCTTTCACAAGTAAAACCAGCTTTTCGAGCTTGTGTTTAGTATTCACGATGTTAGAACTGCATGAAATTAATAAAAATTGTTTAAAATTAGTGTCTAGCCGCCAAAATGTAAGAAAACATATACAAAATCATACATTTTTCACAATTTTCTAACACTTCGCTACACCATGGAAAGCAAAATTCTGTTCGACAGAAAATTCGATACTCAACGAAAATTTCGACACGCTTGCATAGCTCATAATACGAATTTCACTTTCGATCTTCGATAGCCAGCGAAGATCGAAAATCGAATGCAGCTCATAATAAGGGCCTATTACTCTACGACTGAGTTTATGCAGCAGCGGCATTTCGCATTTGTGTACCTCCCACGAATTAATTATATCGAAGTCCGTATGAAAATATACCTCAATATTTTCATATCGCCGCAGCTCTGCAGTAGCTTTATCAGTTCTGCTCACAAAGGTAGGTTGTTTAAGAAGACCTGAAAACAGCTCAAAGTTGTCTGAAGGTAACAAAGGTGTATCCGCAATTAGTGGTTCCATTGTACTGTCAGAATTCTCAGTTAACGTTCTCATAATTGGTAAACATTTCTCTTTTGTGTACCTTTGCTCAGATTCGGTAAAGTTCTTGAGCTCTTTTGCTGGCGGGTATAAAAAAAGCACAATTTTGTGCAAATCTGTTAGTTTTCAACAGCAACTATTTTTAAATAATAAAGCAACTTATTTTTATAAAGCCGATGTCTTCTGAGGTAACATTGCATTTCTTTTGTAGACTAATTATATAAATGTACGTCAGGTTCATAACTAAATAATTTAGTAAAACTAATATATTTAAAAAAATACTTCATCAATATCCATTTTTTTCAAAATTGTCGTATTCTCTACTAATTGTTTGAAGTCAATGGGTGGCATTCGATTGCTCGACTTGCTTTTCATAACAGCATTTTTCACTCGCTTGACTCGATTTGGAAAGAGGCATTGATATACCATATTTGAAATCAAATGAGTACACTGCAGCTAAACACTGATTTCAAAACTAACTATGAATCTCACTGTTTGTACGGTGTTTCTCACTAACCTTGTAGAGTTTACAGCAATGAGTTCATACTGTTTAGATGGAAGTGAGTAAACTCATGCTGTTGTCTGGTGTGTACATATTTTGCATTTGACATTTCATATACATACACACAGTCATGTGAAAAACAATAGCTTCCGGGCAGTTTTTTGTATTTTTCTTTTGTTTGTTTCTTGTTTATTATTTTTTTTTTTTAAATGCAGCTAATTATCTAACAAAACCATAAGTCCAAATTTCAAACTTTGTAGAAAAATTATAAAAATTCAACAAATTTTTGCAACAAAAACTAAACTTTGTATTAGAAACTTTTAGAAAAATTCTAAGTATGCAGCTTTATAGGCCATTAAATTCTAGCTTAATAAAGTGCAAGTTTCACGCGTCTAGAACTCGCGTTGATACCCTCAAACTCACTTCAAATCTGCATTTTATTGAGCAAAAATTTAATGGGGTATAAAACTGCATACTTAGAATTTTTCTAGAAATTCTTAATAAAAAGTTGGTTTTTGTTGTAAACATTTGTTGAATTTTTCAAATTTTTCTACAAAGTTTAAAATTAGGACTTATGGTTTTTGTTAGATAATTAGCTGTACTTATAAAAAATAATAAGCATGAAACAAACAAAAGAAAAATAGTAGAAACTAGTAAAAATGTCGTGTACCTATTATTTTTCACTCAATTTACTCAACAAAACTCTCAAATATCAAAAATGGAGTTATCATTTGTATACATACTATGTATGTATGTACCTAGCAGCACCCATACATATGTACATATACACACACATATCGTGATCAGTACCATCACATAAGTTCAAGTGCTTTGGTACTTACAAATATGCCTTTGCTTCTTACAAAATAAGTAACGTCAGTACTAAAATACTCCCACTTCGGATTATAAACGTATAACTACGGTGATTACAATTACTTTTAAAATACTGCATATTATATCACAAAATTTGTCGTTTGCATTTTTAAAAATAATTGCAAGTAATCTTTTTGTAGTTTAAGTAAAAATTGTAAGTACCAATACATCAGTATGGCTGTATTCTTAAACGCATCAATGCAAAGCATCAGTCTTTTTTATTTCCATACCAGTATCCAAATTGCTTAACTTTATTTAAAATTGGTGTTTCTTTTTTTTACTTTTGCAATGATTTAGAAATGCAAGATAATGATGCTTTGTATTAATGTATTTAAGAAGACAGCCGTAATGATGTACTTTTACTTGCACACAATATTGAAACGAAATATTTTTAAAAACACAAACGACAAAAAAAGGAAATATAAGGACCGTAAATATACTTTCAAAATCCGAAGTGCGAGTGTTTTATTTCCTACTCCTTGCACATATTTTGGAAGTACATATGTTTGTCTGTAAATACATATGTACATATGAACATAAATATGCATTATAAGATTATAAATCACATTACAAATATGGCTTTGCTTCTTACAAAATATGTAACGTCAGTACTAAAATACTCCCACTTCGGATTATAAAGGTATAACTACGGTGATTACAATTACTTTTGAAATACTGCATATTATATCACAAAATTTGTCGGTTGAATTGCAAGTAATCTTTTTGTAGTTTAAGTAAAAATTTTAAGTACCAATACATCAGTATGGCTGTATTCTTAAACGCATCAAACTTACTTGAAAAAATAATATTATCAAAATGAAATTACGAGTATGAAGTTCGTAGTGAATGGAAAAATAAAAAAATATCGAAAGAAAGTTGAATTAATAAGAACTTATACACATGCATGTGTAGCTACAGCATTATAAGAATTGTATTTCTGCTTCTGTTTCCTTCTCTTGGAATCTGAGTACAAGTTTATATATTTCTGTTTTAAATTCGACAGCTAATGCAGGGAACTTTGTGAGCCACTCGCGTCCATTTGCTGTAACGAAACTGCCTATGTCATCCCAAATATCCGACTTGGAAGCTTCCTCCGTGGTCTCCAAAGCGCGTTCTACTACTTTAATATACGACGAATCGTCATTACGGCGTCGTTTCGCGACAATAGTTGGTGTCTGAGTGTTCTCATTTTCATCAATGGTATCCAAAGTACCCAAGTCATACAAGGAAACGAAATTAGTAATACAATAGAACAAAATATGTGTACTGTAAATGATGCATACATACTTCTGATAAATTTGAAATTGTTGGTGCCTCCAATCGCAAAGTCGGTTCTAGAAACTTTAACAAATGGAAGATTTGTGGTGGTTGCTTGGTAGAAGCTCCTTGTCCACTCTTTGTTGAATTCATTTTGTTTAAAGTTGTCTGTAATAAACATAGATAGCAGGTATGCTTTTAAACAATGAAATATAAAATGTCTCGGACCGTGGATACATACCCGGAAGGAGCAACGCAAACTGTTCCACTTGTTTTTTATTTCGGACGGTACCATCTTCATTTCGCCAGCTATCTCCTTCCAGAGCGCCTCCCGTAAATTTCGATCCTTATAAGTTGTAGTAAGAATATTCCAGGTTCCTTCTCTTAGCTGTACGTGCTCGTTCAATTTCTCCGTCTCGCGCTTGTCCATTTTTCTTCGAGTTTCCGGATTCTCTTGCTGGTCTGCTATCATGGGATGCAGATGCGATGATTTCGTAGCTTTCTTCCTTTACTGGTAATTACAGTATTGCAATTCAAACAGAAAATATAGTTTTTATTAAAAGAACAAACTCTTACCAATGTATTGCAAAAATAGCACAATTAGTATCTCACTGCTGCTTTGTATGTTTATTCTTAAAAAATGCGGGAAAATGTCAACAGGTTGTCAATTTGATTTGTGATGCCATTTGACAATATTTTGATTGACAAGCACAGACTGTGGTGTTTCCACTGAGTTCCCTGTTTCTGTTATTAAAACTTTTGTCATAGATTGACAAAAGATGGCAATGGCACCAAATGGCAAGCGTTTCCATTAATTTGACAAAATGTGCCATTGAATTTGACATAGCGAAAACCGGCCATTATGCTAATTTCCTGAAAATTGACATAGCCACATATGTTATCAGTACCGTACTTATGGCGAAAAGTGGTAAATATTGGAAAAGGGGGCGTGGCACCACCTATACAAACTAAAATTCTGATATCGCCTTTCACTGGAACCACTTATGCTAACGACCTAAAATAATATATGCTATCAAAACCGTACTTACGGCGAAAAGTGGTAGATTTTGGAAGAGGGCATGACACCTCCCATACAAACTGAAACCTCATAGCGCTTATCCCTAAAACTGCTAATGCTAACGTCCTGAAATTTGACACAGGAACATATGTTATCTATACTGTACTTCCGCGAAAAGTTGTAGATTTTGTAAAAGGGGGCGTGGTATATAAACTGAAATTCTCATATAATTTTTCTTTGGAACCGCTTATGCTAACGCCCTGAAATTTGACACAGCTATTAACGCTATCAATAACGTGCTTATGACGACAAGTGGTAGGTATTGAAAACCTCCCATACAAAGTGAACTTCTTATTTCGCTAAATCTGTGTAACCGCGTATGCTATCGTTCTGAAATTTGACACAGCTGCATATGTTATGATTACCGAACTTATGGCGAAAAGTTATGCGTATTCGAAAGGAGGATGAGGCACCTCGCATACAAAATGTAATTTCCTCGCTTATATCTGGAACCACTTATTCAATTTCTAAGTTCCGAACCCGCCCACCCCGAAGTTTTTCATAATTGTACCGCGGGCTCGTGGGCCCCGAAATTTATCTCTAAAAAAATCACATGTCTTTTAAATTAATTTTAAATAAAAAAAAAAACATGTATAAAAAACGAGCATCCTCTGATTATCTCAATAAAACATAAGAAGTGCCAATTTTATACAACTTTTTCAAGGAAGATTTTCTCAATTTGCAGAGGTTGAGGTTTTATCGGGAGTATCGGGAAAAGATTTTGGTCCCGTTACGTCCGTAAAATTTTTACAGACCATCCCGATACCGCCCATCCCGGCCATTTTGAAATCGGTACCGTGGGTCCCGCGGGTCCCGATATCCCGCGCCCACCTCTAATTGAGATCTATCCTTAAAATTTATGGTCAGATTTGCTGCATCTTTAGAACACATAATAACAATATAAAATTTGGTGCAACGGTAGCCCAATCGTGTGATGCAAAAATATTGGGCTTTAGGCTCAATCTTGACAAAACCCCGTGTAAAATTGCCGTTAGAGAAGGAAATATTATATTTTGTTTTACAGCTTCGAGTTACTTAACCTCCACCGATTCTTATAAAAAGAAAGAGGAGTCCATGCAGACGTTGACAATTTAGATTTAACGTTCCAGACCAATATAGTCTGAATTGGTATTTGTTTAACATATTAGTCAGTGAGGAACCGTTAGGTATCTCATCAGTACGTACAATTACATATGTATGTATGCACAGTTTTTATAAATGAAAATTGGGGTTTCTTTCTCGGTATAGTTTCGAAAGCTACTAAATTGTAAATTCGCTATAAATTTTGTTGGTAGGGGTGGTAGGTGGCACCCTTTTAAAAAAATATATCCTTACTGCACATCCAGAGGCCAAACCCTTTCATTTGACACTTCATTTTTGAAAATCGGGAGAACGGTGTAAATATCATAATTTTAAACCCAATAAAAAAATATGTCCTTACTGCACATCTAGAGGCCAAGCCCTTTCATTTGACACCTCATTTTTGAAAATCGAATGAACGGTGCAAATCTTATGCAATTAACAAAATTGCCTTCACATGGAATAGTATCTCCATCCACACCAGCTTTCCGCGAATATTTGCCGCAGCATTTACATTCACCTATGAACGAGAACGACAGCAGTGAACCTTCGCGAACGCATTTTTTTTATTTTTTTTTCGTCTCTCGGGACGTTTATTTCAAGGCGAATATGGTTTACGTCTTCTCATAATAATTATATAGGCTTTTTATTTTATTTCGTCTCTTGGGACGTTTATTTCAAGACGAATATGATTTACGTCCTCTCATAATAATTATATGGGATTTTTATTTTTGTCGTCTCTCTGGACGTTTATTTCAAGACGAATATTATATACGTCTTCTCATAATAATTATATGGGCTTTTTATTTTTTTCGTCTCTCGGGACGTTTATTTTAAGACGAATATGATCTACGCCTTCTCATAATAATTATTTGGGCTTTTTATTTATTTCGTCTCTGGGGACGTTTATTTCAAGACGAATATGATTTACGTCCCACGTTTTTCTTAATGTAATTGGTACACTTACAGCCGATTTCACGAAATTTTTTAATTGCTGTTTAATTTCAATTTAAATTTTTATTAAATTTTGCATTTAAGTTTTACTCCTTTCACCAATACACACGTGGCCTTATTAAATTTTTCTGGCATAAATGAACTAATGCAGCTTCGAAGTTGAAATTTGGCGAAGTAAATCGCCACGTAAATGCCGTGATGAGATGACCAAATTTTGGACCATCGGGTTACACCCACCTTCACCGCCCATACAAGAAGTGAGTAAATCGTATACGTATTTATATAAATTAAGGTTGCAAAAGTGGTGTAACACATTTACTCAAAAACCTCTGGACCGATTTTGACGAAATTTTCACATAAGACATATATATTTGGAGAAGGTGTAAATTATGTTAGTTTGCTATCCGGTAAATACCTATTAAAAAATTAATTCAATTAAGTTAAATTAATTACTTCAATATCGAAATGGTGTGGAAAAGGATTTATTTCTAAGCAACATGTGGGAGGGTTGCCATCTGTTTTAAAAATTCAATTAAACATGAACATGGGAATTAGGTAACTGGAATACGTACCACAATATGGGTGTCAGGCGAGGTTGGTTGTAGTCTAAAAATGTGTACACGAAAGCGTCAGAAAAAATTGGTTTAAGAAAGTTTACCTTTTAAAATTTGTTGATGAGGGTTGCCAACTATTTAATTATTTAATAACTTTAATGAGTTACCACAATATGGATATCAATCGAAAGAGTTTTGAAATGCTTCATTTCTAAACTACAGGTAGGAGGGTCGCCATCTGTTTAAAGAGTCAAACTGAGCTTGAATTAAGGGAATTAGGTAATTTAGATATGTATCACAATCGGCATCAGACGAAAGAGCGGGAAGCTTTTAGTTTGAAAATAATATTTTGACGTGGGTTGCCAACTATTTGAAAATTCTAATTTAATTTAAATAATCATAAATTATAAGATATATTAAAATATGGATGACAAACGTAAGGGTGCAATGAAACCTTTAGTTCGAAGATTTAAACTTTGCCTTTCCCCGTCTCCAGTGGCAAGTACATATTTCCAAACTCGATTAAGAAATTTCACATCAATTATTTGAATTTCACTTTTTAAACAGGTGGCAACCGTATTATATATAGTTAAAAAATAAAATAATTTTACAATAATAATTAAAATAATTGGATTGACACCCATATGCTATAACCCATATAACTTTTTAAATAACTTTAATATTTTGAATTTAATTTCTACTACATTGCAACCCTTTTCTGAAAACTAAATCCTATTGCACTTCTACATACCAATCTCTTCAATTCTCCGTGCAGATCTGGTGACGGTGGGTTAAATATTTTACGTAAACATCTCCGAACTCGATTATTTGCATTTGATTTTCTAACATCTGGCAACCCTTTCCAAAGAACCAAAAATGCGTAAAAGCAAGTCCTTTAATATATATCGTCGTTTAAAGTACAAACCCGCGTATCGTCATTCTGCAAAACCGCGTAACTGACATTGGCTGCCAAAAATTGGATTTGCTCACACAAGCTCTTGGCTCAATCCTTATCCATTCGTCCGGAAATATATTAGCCAGAAATGCGATTGCTTTATTAAAAACGAGAACCATTTTTAAATATGAGTGTTTCTACGCTCTAGAAAATAATTTCTACAACTTCACATACGCGGTTTTGCATTTTGCTGATACGCGGTTTTGCATTTTGTTGATACGCGGTTTTGCACTTTAAACGACGATATATTTATAAATAAATATATTTAACGCTTTAAGGGCCGTTAACGTATCTGTGTTGAGCTATAGTTTATTTATGTATTTCATTCATTAGTTAAACTTAACTACAGAAAATTCCATAAAATTACTTCAAAATAGATAAGTTAACGGCCCTAAATCTCCGAACTCGATAAATAAGTTTTAATTCAATAAAAGTCCCATATGATTATTATGAGAAGACGTAAATCATATTCGTCTTGAAATAAACTTCCCCAGAGACGAAAAATAAATAAAAAGCCCATAAAATTATTATCAGAAGACGTAAATCATATTCGTCTTGAAATAAACGTCCCGAGAGACGAAAAAAAATAAAAAGCCCATATAATTATTACGAGAAGACGAAAATAATGTTCGTCTTGAAATAATCGTCCCGAGACGAAAAAAATTAAAATCCCATATAATTATAATGAGAGGACGTAAATAATATTCGTCTTGAAATAAACGTCCGGAGAGACGAAAAAAATAAAAGGCCCATATAATTATTATGAGAAGACGTTAATCATATTCGTCTTGAAACAAACGTCCCGAGAGACGAAAAAAAAATAAAAAGCCCATAATAATTATTATGAGAAGACGTAAATAATGTTCGTCTTGAAATAATCGTCCCGCGAGACGAAAACAACTTTTCCATTGTGCAGTAATAATTATAGAGCAATATTTAATTTTATTTCTTATAATCGTTATAGTCTCTGGCAGCTACATATATGAACGCACGCTGTTTGGTCCACCAATATATACGCGTACGAACAATAGTCGAAATTTTCTCTACCTAAAGCTGAAATTACTCAAGAACGTAAACCTACCGGTACGTAATCCCGAGTCAGCTGACACGATCTGTCTTACCAGAGCGCCATGTAAATGAAATCTCAACACCGCAGAATTTTTCTGTAGTTGTAGCCCGTAGCGCAGAAATCTGCGGAATTTAGATTTTTCCGTGTCAGCTGATTTCTTCCTTCTATAGATGGTTGCCACTTCGTCAGTTTCGCAAATGGTAAAAAAGGTATAATTTCCTATTCAAAATACGTTTAAAATATTTGAAATTTACTATTGAATAAAGTTTTTTGTTGAAAACTAATTAGTTTATATTTAGCTACGATCTATTATAGCACGAAAAATTGTAGTTGAAAAGGTAAGTTTATGAAAAGGCATTGATGAGTGGCAACACTGTAGTAAGCAACACTGAGGGCTCCAGTAATCGACAAAATTCTGCGTATACAGACTGCGTTTAAGTATACGTTCTGCGTTCTTGACTAATTTCAGCTTAACATTCGCGAACGCGAACCATCTGGACTGGTTTTATGCTTCTCGTTCGCGAAGGAGAATCAACACAGAATATTTTATCAGTGTTGCCAGCTTTTGATTTTCAAAAAGCACCAAAAACTTGGAAAAAAGCGTTTTACCACACTAAAAGCACCAAATGGTTTCAAATCAATTGATGCTTTTTTCATAACAGTTTGTATGTATTTAACAAAAACAAAAAATTAACAATATTTACAAGAATGCATACATAAATCAATAAACTAAACTTTTTCGATCATAACGATTGAAAAGCCACATGCTATAATGACGCATGGTTACGACGTAATACCGAAGTATTGCACATTAAAACTGATATATCTCAAGAAAGAAAAATCGAATCCCAACAAACGAAAATCATGCCCTAAGTAGAAATGAGGAAAAAAAAATTTTGTTTTCATTATATCGTCGGTCCCTACGAAGAGTAGCACATTTCACTATTCGCGTGGAAGACTAGCACATTTCACTATTAGCGTGGAAGACTAGCACATTTCATTATTCGCGTCGAAAAGTAGCACATTTCAGATTTTTGCGTGGAAGAGTAGCACATTTCGTTATTTGCGTGGAAGACTAGCACATTTCAGATTTTTGCGTGGAAGAGTAGCACATTTCGTTATTTGCCTGGAAGACTAGCACATTTCAGATTTTTGTGTGGAAGAGGGATACGCAAGGCAGTTCATATAAGGTTGTAGCAGCCGTTAAAAAAAAAAAGTTACATAAATATGTATGTTTATACTATAATTATTTTTCTTCGGTCATGCTGAAAGTTTAGTGTTGTATATGGAGCCTTTTGGCCGGTTATTACAAGTAAAATAAACGTTTATTTTTCCTCCTACACCTTTCGACATTCGCGTCTTTCTCAGGGAATCTTTATTTATAAATAAATACGAAAAAACATATACATACAGTATCATATCAAGAGGACCCCGTTTCAAAGTGATATTATTTATGTTATGTTTATTTATTTACTTAAAAAACCTTCAATTAAAATAAAGTTAATTCTCTTAAAAAAATCCATATTGGCCCAAGTTTAAAGCCCAGGAGAATACTAAAAAAACTCAACAAATTTTCAACAACGCAAACGCAAATGAAATATTTTCCTTCGAAGAACTGTCCAAATATTTACATTGGCAAAAAATTAAGATATCACATGTACGGAAAATTACAATAAAAAATAGCAAAAATCAAGTAGACATGGCAGTAAAATACGACTTTATGCAAAGCGAGAAGAAGTTGAACCTAAGAAAAAAAATGTTC